CCTCGAGCTTCTCACATCGGCGCAAACTGTCAAAGTCACAACGGCCTGTCTCGGCCCCCTTCGAGGTGATGAATCGCCGAAGCTCCGGCTTCTCGGACGACATCAGTCGCATGTCAGTCGCCGACACCCTGAGCACATGCACAACAACTCCGGCCACCATCGAATGGAAGTCCCAAGATGTCGAGGGCTTTTCGGCTCTCGAGACCGACCAAAAACTACTAACGACAAAGACACCTTACCTTGTCGTCACCGCAGACTATCTCGTCAAGGTTAAGAACCGCGCCGACGTCTTCGCCCTGTTCCCTCAGCTTCAGAGCGATGGCCAACGACCAGCGAGCATGGGCCCCCCGCCAGAACCTATCCTCGTCGTCCCGACTACCTCGATTGTGTCCGTATTTGTGGCCGAGAGCACCAAACCGTCCTTTGGTCTAGAAGTATGGTGGAAGGCACAATCCGGCGTCTCCTTCCTTCATACCACCTTCTACTTTGACCTTCCTACCGACAGAGATGAGCAGCTATATAATATTGTTCAGACCATCCGAGGGCCCCATATTGAGGAGGAGGATTTTGCGCGTCGCTCGGTCGAGGTATCCGAGCTCATCAGGACGATTCAAGAGACCGAGGAGCCCAAGTTTGTCAACCATAATTTGCAAATATTTCCCGTAGTACCACGAGGCATCACCCGGAAGGAGTCTGGCTTCAAGCAAGAGGATGACCCCAAGAAACCACAGGAAAGCCCAGCATTCTACCTGGTCATTGGACCCCATCTCTGTTATTTTATTGAGCTGCAGAGGGGCAAGAACGGCGACCTGGTTTGCAAGCACAAGACTTTTGGTCTAGTAACCCTGGAACTCTTCAAGGCCGACTGGACCATCCACCAAGAAAGATTCAACATCACCTTCCGGTAAGAACATCTAATCATTGTCTTGCCTTTGACCTCACTGACGTGTATTCAGGGATCCATTCCAACCACCAGTCACAATGGAACTCGCGAGTCGCTATTACCGCCACATCATTCGTGACTTCTGTGCTGTCGACCGCTACCTGAAGCCTGCATGGCCGCAAATCTGGCAGAGCCGTGAGATCTTCCACGTTACCGGACTTAAGGAGACACATCTCGTTACCGCCGGTGAGGATTTCGGAAGCGTCAAGAGGACCCTGGATGCCTATCTAGCAGCATACCGATGCCCCGCGGTCGATTGGGAAATCAACTGGAAGACCAAGTTCGCCCCCGAGTTTCGCCTACTGCCCGCCAAGGATGGGAACAACTACTCACCACTCCAACTGCTGGCTGTCTTGCGCGCCTTGAGATACAACGACTACTTCAACTCGCTGTCGTTCCGTGATGTCGACCTGGGTGTGCTGTGGAGCGTGAGCGATCACCATGCGAGACGGGGGAATGTTGCCTGGTTGAGCCGGACTTGTAAGTTTGCCGGCTTGATTATCATTATCTGTTCTTGATCACTAACTTTGTTCCCATAGTGGTCGCTCTGGGAACTGAGGAAATCGAGATCCTCAATATCAGCCCCGTATTGCACCAGGAATTCCACGCCCTTGCCTTTTGCTCGGAAAACATTCGCCAGATCGACTTCACCAATGCATCCAAGTCTTACCCTGGCAAGGTCTCAACGAGCGGACAAGATACGCCCAGTCTTCAGTTCCTCACGCCTGTTCTAGAACTACTCAAGGCCGGCATCACACGATGCAATCGCCTGATTCTTGCCGGCAACCTGCTGCTGCAACCCGATCTCGCTGAGCTGGCTGAGGCACTGAAGGCTGCCCCTATTCAGGCACTGGATGTCTCCTATTGCGGCTTGGACGACATGAGTCTGCGAGACTTGATCATCACACCTCTTCTGGATGGACCTCGGATGGTGCAGCTTCTAGATTTGTCCGGTAACCCCGGGCGCGTGGCGTGTCAAACCGTTCCTGATCTGCTATACAGTCTTTCGGATCTGAGGGAGCTGAACCTTGCTGGTAGCCTTCGGGGCGAAATGGCTGGACCATTGCTCCCCATCGAGGCACTTGAGAATCTCCCGGGCCTGGAACTACTTGATGTCTCGAACTATGCGGTAAGTCTGGACAGAGACCGGGGGACGGGAGCCATTGCTGACTTCATTTTAGCTTAATATCCCTACTTTGCGCGAGATTGAAGAGTTCCTGGTATTGAGAGGTTCCAAGATTGACAGCCAGGTACCTGTGCGATTCCGGAAATTGGTATTGAACCGGTGCGCCATCACCGGAGCTAAAGCCGCCAGGCTATTCAACGCTATCGGCGTGAACCACGGACTTTATCTCTGTCTCAACGGCAACCCTGTCGAGGAGGGAATCGATGCTTTGTGCGATGCCATTCGTCAATCACAGACCCCGGCCGGTTTGAGCATGGAGATGATCGAGTTCCGGGAAGAAAGTCACTACCTGTCGTTGATCAGAGCACTCACGGAAACCAGATACATCACCTCGTTGAGCCTTCTCGGAACTGCGCCCTCAACTCCGTCTCAAGGTACCTGCAGTCGCGAAGCCATTCGGGTATTCGAGCGCTTCTTCGCCGAAAACAGGTCGATCCGTTATCTGGACATTTCCGGCTTCAGCGGTAAACTCGACGATGGACAACTCGCCAAGGGCTTCGGTCGGTCTCTTATCGGCTTGACGCGCAACAAGACCCTGACCTACCTCAGGATCCGGAACCAGAACCTACATGAGGATGCAGGAATTTTGGGCAAGGTGATCAGCGAAAACAGACAGTTGATACTGTTTGACTGCCAGGATAACAAATTCAACTGCACCAGCTTCCAATTCCTGGCACAGAGCATGCGGACGAACACCCAGATCATCGAGTTCCCCGTCGAGAGGAGGGAGAGGGACGCCATTTGGAAGAACACTCTACAGGGCTTGAACAGAGGTCCTTATGGTCAGATATTGACCAGCACCACGGGAACCGGTACGGTACCCACCAAGGGCAAGAAGAGGGAGAAGAAGAAGCACGAGAGCCACAAGTCTTTGTCTTTTGGCAAGATGACACAACATGCCGCGGCCAACGGCAGCAGCAGCAACTTGAAGGATCCACTGAAGGAGCAGGAGACCATGCTTCGGACCGTGCTGTCACGACTCTTCGATGAGCTCGACGGCTATCTCAGACGGAACCGCCACGCGCTCGAGGAAGCTTCCGGACAAATGCTCGACTTTGAAGGTCTTGCTTCTGACGGCCAGGAGGAGGTCTGGCCCGGCTCGCCTGCGGCCGTGGACGTTGAAAATCCTATTGACGACACGGGTAGAAACACAGTCGATACGTCCCCCACCGAACAAGGAGCAGGAGGCCAAGGAGGACTGCTGGCACCAGACACCGCTGCGATGCTCAAAGCACGTCGGGTAACCGTCCGCTCATCCATGCTCGCCTCCGGAAAATACAACATCGGCGCCTACCCATCACCACCAACCCTGCCGCCACCTCCGATCCCGTCCTTCTCGCTCTTCCCGGACATCAGCGAAACCACCCTCGATCCCGTCACCGAAGTCGACACCCCCATGTTCGAGTTCCAGCGCGAACTAGAGCTAGCTGCCGAGTCCGCCATCAACGATAGCGGCGACGGAACCCCCCTCTTCACGAACGAGATCAGCCGCAACGGAACCCCCATCTCCACGAACGAGATCAGCCGCAACGGAACCCCCCTCTCCACGAACGAAATCAGCCGCAACAGCGGTATCTACGCCAACGGCACCGGATACGGAAGCAGCGGATATCTCAGCCACCACAGCGCCAGCAGCAGCCGCAGCGAGGACATCCGCCCCATGACGATGTCGGCCATGCCTAGCCCGCCCACCATGGCACCGCCACCGGTTCCCAGGCGTCCGGTTTCCAGTAGGAATAGCTCGTTCACGCCGCCGGCTCCGCCGACTAGGGCCGGCAGCAGCGGATATCTCAGCCACCACAGCGCCAGCAGCAGCCGCAGCGAGGACATCAGCCCCATGACGATGCCGGCCACGCCCAGCCCGCCCACCACGGCACCGCCGCCGGTTCCCAGGAAACCGGTTTCAAGTAGGAATAGCTCGTTCATGCCGCCGGCTCCGCCGACTATGGCCCCGCCACCACCGCCTAGGCCTCTCTCGACCTCGACGTCGACCGCCACCAAGAGAGGCGGTACCATCATTGAAGTAGAGGAGGGTGATTCCTCTCTTAGCAAGCTGCTCAGGGATTTTGAAGCTACTGGCTTTGCCTGATCTGATCTAATCACCACATCTATTATCCTTATTGAAAACCCGCGCAACACCGAGGGACTGAATGGTTCTCAGTTGCATAATAAGCGGGTTATATGAAAGAAAGAAGAAAGACTGTTCCTGGTGTGGGAGGCGGACAGTCACTGTACATACCAAAAAGCACACCAACATTTCATTTTCACACACATTATTGGCAGGGGAGTAAGCGTCGCTGAGACCCACGAGGGAAATTGCTCCCCCGAGTTTTCCTACTATATCTTTTACTACTACTACTGCAGTGTGTTTTGATACCCCATACATACATATATCGTGCAAGCGAAGCAGGCAGGCGAATTGAGCGAGCGAACGCGTGAGCGAACGCATGAGCGGGTGAATGCGCGGAAAGGGAGGAAAGAGCGGAGCGGAGCGGATGAGCCAGGGGTTGATTTGCGGTTGGCGGTCGGCGCGATTGGATGAAGTAATGCCCGGAGGAGACGGGGGTAAGGGGCTGTATATACAAGAAAGAGACTTGCTTGGGGTGAAGTGGCCGGTCGGATAGGCGAAAGGGGTGGATGTAGGATAAAAGAAAGAAAGAAGGAAATTGATTGGAAAGAAAGGCATCATTGCAAGGTCGACTGGTCGGTTGGTTAATGGGGTATGGATGGCATGGCATAGTCGGTCGGTTAGGGCAGGTATGCATTGTGTGTGGTTGAGTTAAAGGTACCATATGGATCGGGAAGGGACGGAAGGAAGGTTATTTCCAGGATAGGATAGGAGTACTAGGATATAGGATATAGGAAATGGGATTCTGGATAACATGATCATTCATTGTTCAAGCTGTTGGTGAGGCGTCTTATTTATGGGGTTGTTTGTGTTGGTAAACTTGAACGAGATTTGTTGATATCATCAGTTGACTGTCGCCGATAGTTCTTCTGCTGCATATCTGGCATCATATCTGAGACCTTAGCTGCTGGGCTCGGTTCATAATTAGCTCGACCGAAAGACCCCTGAGGTAGTGGAGGGTTGTTTATAGCATGGGTTATATCGGAAAGAGCATGAAGCTATAGATAGAGGGTGCGGGCCCTATATCTTCACCTCTCTTCACCTCTCTCTCTCTTCACCTCTCTCTCTCTTCACCTCTCTCTCTCTTCACCTCTCTCTCTCTTCACCTCTCTCTCTCTTCACCTCTCTCTCTCTTCACCTCTCTCTCTCTTCACCTCTCTCTCTCTTCACCTCTCTCTTTCGTACTACCTCCACTCAACACCAACAGTCCCCTTAACAGCCAACCCCCCATCCGGCGCCTCAATCCACACATCAACCCTCTCCCTGCGTCCACCGTCCAAGCCACTCAAGCCCGCCCTATCGCCGTCGCCGTCGCTCTTCTTCTCCTTGTTAGGTAACAACCTGATACAAACCTTCATCTCCTCACCTACAAACAGCGGTCGAAGGTTTTTGTATTCTATGTTTGCGATCTCCCACTGCTTTTTCTTCTTCTTCCCGTCGTCCTCTGGTTCATCCCCCGGGACGACAAACAACCTCTCCCTTATCGCCTCGGAGATCTGGGTCCCAGCGGAGTCCGCCGCCGCCGCCGTCATCGTCGAACCAGCACCAGCCCCAGAAGTACCACCCCTCAAAAACCCCTCCACACCCCTCAACATAACCACCAACGTCAACGGCCCATGCATCAACCGCTCTTTATACCCCTCCACCTCTCTCGCGTACAGCGGGTTCAAGTGGATGGCGTGCGCGTTGAAGGTTAGCGCGGAGAACTGGAAGAGCAAAGTGGCGTCCGGCGTCATTTTGAAGAAGAAATCGGGTTGGTGGGGGACGCGGATCACCCTTGCTGGAGCTGGTTCGAGTTTTTGTTGGGTTTGGTTTTGGTGGTTTGGGGAGGGTTCGCGCTCGCGGAGGAAGACTAGACGGCGGAGTTCTGAGATTACTCCTTTCGATCCCTTTGCCGTCTCACTGCCCCCGTCTTGCGCTCCCGCCGCTTCATTCTGGAGATCGTCGACAACACCCTCCACCACCCTTTCCATCTCCCCCCTCCCCATCCCCTCCTCAGGAGGAAAAGTAAAATACCGCCTCCAAACATCCACCCACACCCTCTGCTCTTCCTCCTTTCCATCCTTTCCCACCTGTAGCACGGGCTCCCCCAACGTCTCAACGCAAATCGTCTTCCTCCCATCCACCTTGAACCTCTCCCCTGATCCCTTACCAAACTCAATCCTCCCGCCTGCCCACATCCTCCTCGTAAAGGGGCTTCCAGGGCAATGATCGGCGTCGGTCCCGTCGGGGAAGAGCAAGTGGGGAGGGGTTTGGAGGGGGTAGTAGATTAGGTGATAGCCCGGCGGTAGCTGGAGCTGGTTATACTCCTCCTCCTGGTTGGTGGGCCATGGAAAGATGGGAGTGGAGGAGGATGGGGAAGAAGAGTTGAAGCCCGGAGGTAGACAAATGCTCGGCAAGTGAGAAGATAAAGCGAGAGAGAGCAGATGGGACTGGGTGGGGTGGAGGGTGTCGGGGATGAGTTTGGGTGGGATGAGGGAGAGGGTTGTGGTGGCGGTTTGGAGGTAGGTTTCGGGGTTGAATGTGGAGGATTGGGACTGGGACTGGGATTGAGACTGGTGGGAAGAAAGAGGTGATGGGGGAGTAGTGCCCTTTTCCGAGGAATAGGCTCTTATGTGACTCCCATGGTGATTTGTTGTTATTGTTGTTGTAGTGCGGGTTGCAGAGAGGACGCGGTGGGTGAGGAACCTCCTCGTTGTGATAGTTCTGGTCACTGTGGTTCTTGTGGTGGGGGTGAAGAGCCTCATCGTGGCATTGAAGCTGACTGTCGTTCAGTTCAGCAAGTGGTGGGAGTTTTTTGCGAAAATATGAGTTCGATGGAATAGACTAAGTTCAAGCCGGTTGAGGAATTCGTAAAGTCGTGTAAGCCGTCACAGTCCCGGGATTTCAATCCGTCATCCCTCCGCCGTCAACTGTGCTCTACTTGATCTCAAACGGTAAGGTACCACCGCCAAGACCCCATCCGCCAAGCACCACCCACTCTGAACCGGTAATTCCCCGTAACATACACCGTAAATTACCCATATTGTATCGTAACCTTTCCGTCGGTTATCCAGTGTCGACATCGCTGCCATCCGATGTCCCCGGCTTGTCCGCCCCATGCACATTCAACATCCATCCCCTGGTCAACCACTAGCTTTGTGCACTTTGTGATATTGCCCCTGACTCCCTTCCCTTCCCTGAGAATGAATCCCAGCTCCGGATGCAATGGGATTTCCAGAAGCCTTGGCCCTTGGCCTCTTGAAGATTTCCCAGAATTTCCCAGAATAGGTGGTCTTGGTCTTCGTATTTGTCTCGACAATGGATAGATATGATTTGGTAACCGTCGACTGAAACCAGACCGCACAATGTTTACCCCTGACCTGACTGACCCCTTTTCGCATACGGATACGGGACTGTCAGCGGAAGGACCCGAGAAACAAGCAAAATATTTTGTTTTCCTTGACTTTCATTTCCGCTGTGAGGAGATAGTGAAACTGTTGGTTGTCCATTTCGAATTGTAAATGGGTCATGTTATTTGGTTTTTCCCCTGCATGTGGTCTACCTTCTCTAACCTCCGTGGTGTCCCTTTTGGTGTTTTCTTCTTCTTTTATGCCCCTGAATCTGTCCAGTCCGAATCTCACTCCCAGGTCATTGACTCTTTCTTGTCTTCGATATGCCAGTTCCGGAACCCTTGCCAACAACCCCATCACGAGTTGGCATTGAGCAACTCTCTGAGCATCTATAATCATCAAAACAGGAAACATCCAAACACCCTGCGAAATCTATCTCTCCCGCCGATCTCGTCAACCCTTTCTTTCGCTTCAAAAGGCCAGTGGCTGCATAAAAATATACCGACTGGCAAGCATTACACGCGCTAGCACGCAAGCAGAACAAAAGGATTAAGATGACTTATGTGCAACGAAGAAAGTGATATGTGATGTAAAAAAGAGGAGGCCACCAGTCGAAATTCTGGTTCCAGTATGATGCTATACTTGGGAAAAGCGAAAGAGGCCCCTCCATCCGCCCATGATAACTTGCGGTGGTCTGGTCAGAAGAAAAGACGCACACACAAAGCGGTGATAAAAAAACAATAACGAGGGTCGAAAAGGGTAGTTAAATCAGTTACGGCGAGCCCCTGGCCCGAACTGAAAATGCATGAGTGCTCCAAACTCCTATGCTGGCCAAACGCGAAACGAGGCATGATGTCATTCCCTGAGATCTCTGCCGCCCACCCATCCCATCCGTCCATCCATCCGGATCATTCCCATCCTTCGGCTGCTCCTATCCTTCCTATCATCCCCCCATCTCCTGCCTCTCTTACCATAAGTACAAACAACGAGAGGCTTGGGGGGGTTGTGGTATGTAAGTAGGTGACTGTCGTCGCTGTGCTAGGTCAAGATGGCGATCCTAGCATCGTTTCGCTCGAAAATTCAAGGGTAAACGTTTTTTCTCATTCCTATGAGAAATGAATAGCCCTAAATCTCCATACGAAATCATGCGCGCAATCCCGCCAGACGGTGATGTGATGCCCTTGCGAGTTCCCGAGGTGGGTCTAGAACATCAACTATGGGCCCGCCTGACGGAGTTTTGTTAAAGGCCCTCCTCTCCGGCCTTGCAGAGTTTTATCTCACGGCCCCATTCGGACTTGAGAACTTGGGACGCCGTGATTCTACGGGACGGGTTCGGGTCCAGTATCGAGTAGATGACGTTCCTGCAACGAGCCTGGATTGATGACGGTCAGTTTTGCGACAGTGCTTCATCTGAGGTGCCGTAATTCAACTTACCCGGTGTAACGACTCGATCGGTCCGTAGCCCTCCTCGTCCCGACGACCTTCTAGGTACCTGGCATAGAACTCATCGTCGTCCTTCTTAGCCACCCTCCACAAATGGCGACCGGTCCTCATGGCCATGTAAATGACACCGCAAGCCCAGACATCGACGGCACGAGCATCGAACTCTTGGTCGATATACTCCTCGGGAGCAATGTACGGGGCGGAACCACACAGACCGGAAACCATATGCGCGTCGTTCTCCCAAGCCATACGAAAGCATTCGCCATTGCCAAAGTCAGTGATCTTAAGGGCACCGTGGGTGGTGAGGAGAAGGTTCTCAGGCTTCAGATCACGATGAGCAACACCCATCTCATGCATGTACTCGACGCCACGCATCATTTGCTTGAAGAAGCAGTCCGCCTCCTGAACCTCGAGTTTTCCGGCGGCAAGGACAAGGGTATAAAGATCGCCTCCAGCGCAGAATTCCATCACCTCGCAGAAATCTCCCTTAGCGTCCTTAATAAGGTCAAGGGTGTGAATCACGTTGGGATGTCTGAGGGAGGAGGAGATGCAGAACTCGGCGGTCAAGCGTTTGCTATACTTCTTTTCTGTTTCCTCGGGTCTGCGGCGGAACTCCTTGACGGCAAAAAGCTTCTCTCCGAGACCATTCTCCAGTTTCTTGTGCGAGATCCTCACGATACCAAAGGCACCGCGGCCGATGATCTCCTGGCATTTGCCGTACTTTTCGACCAGAGTGGTAGGCGGAGTGGTTACGCCCTTCTTATCTGCCGAGGAGGCAAGACCATCCTTTTCTTGCTTGAGAGTGTCGACCCAGCTGGAAACCAAAGACAGATCGTTTTCGGGGACTGGCTGTTCAATCTTCCTGCCGAGGAAGCCCTTGATCATATCGGTTAGCTTCTCCTGGCGGCGACTTGATTTCAGGTGGTGCTCGTGACCGCCCTGGGCCTCGGGGATGACGACGAAGCGTGAAGGCGGCGCATTGCCGTTCGTCCTGGCTTTGGCATCGGTTATAGACATCTTGCGCTGCGGAGGGGCAGGTTTCGAGCTCGACGAGGGCGGCGGGGATGGAGCTGTGCTGCTGTTACCCGGGGTGGTGTTTCTTGAGACAGCTGCATCTGCAGTAACGCGACCAGATTCTTTTGTCGAGAACATGCGAGTCAGGCGGTCCTTGACGGAAGCCTTTTCGGCAGGCTTTGGCAATTGCTCGGCAGAGCCGGTCGGAACGAGCTGGCCGTTCTGGGCAGCAAGATGCGGGGATCTCGAGGAAAGGTCGAAGGACTTGATGGACGAGGTCTGCGAAGGGGAAGTGCGCTGCGAAGACGCAGACTTGGCGTCTGAGGTGCTGCTCGCCATGGTTGCGGATTTCCGAGGGGGACGGGTTTCGGGTCGCTCGGTGGGTGTGATTGGGGGGAGGGCCAGTGTTCTTGTGGCTGTTTTTTTTCGCGCTGGGCGGCGGCTGGGCGCTGTTTGTAGCTGCTCTGACTGCCGGAACTGGGAATAGCGTACGGCGGTCAAGCGAGGCCGATGGTGGTAGTCGCTGGGCAAGCGGTGCAGCAAGCGACAACACGGGCGATCGTCGAAAGTCTTGGGTCAGTTAACGGGTAGGTAGGTTGGCTTGGGTCGTCGTCTGGGGGGAGGTCTTCCACTGCGCTTATGCAGGGAACAGCGATGGTGGCGGCTTGCGCGCCTTGAATGAGTGGGCGGAAGCCCGGACTTGGACCCTTTAGGCCTTCAAAACGGCAGGGTATTGTCGAGGCGATGAACCTCTGTTTGGATTGCGAGAAGGACTCAATCCCCTTTATAAGCCGCGATAGGGCTGGCACGGCTGGCAACCCCCAAAAAGTTGAGAAAAAATCAAGAGGCCGAATCCGATTGAGCGGAGCGGAGAAATCGAGAGCGAGTGCCGTGCGGGCTGCGCGCCAGTGGATTCTTCCACCTGCACCTGTGCTTGGTTGCTGCTTCTTTGCCTGCTTCGTGGAGGAGCCAGTCGCAGTGCGGGCAACAACGGGTGTTCGCAAAGTGTGTGCGCTTGGTTTTTTTCCCTCTCTTCCACTTCTGGTTGTGGTACGGGTGTAGGTGCCAACTCGAGTGGGTTAGAGTTAGGTAAGTGCTGGTCTGGCGAATGACTGCCCAGTTAAATCGGTGGAGATGGCGGGTGAGGTGAATGGACCTGATGGAGCCCAGCCAAATGAAGTGGACTGTGGCCCGGTGCTGCGTGACAGAGTGGAGCCAGAGGCAAAGGTACGCAGCGAAAGGTACCCCAAATACGTCGTTACGTAGCTCGCCGTGGTAAAATAGGGTTTCAAGGTTTTCAGACCTGGTTCGGATTCGTTCGGTCGTTTGTTTCTCTCCCGTCGTTTCTTTTCCAGTCAATGGTCAACGACGCAAGAAAGTGAAGGCTGTTGATGTTGGCGCCTTGTCGTATGAAATCGTCGGATAGGTAGGCGGTGGTTAGTAGAACTCGGGAAGCGTGGCAGACCTGGACTGTTGTAATTGGCGGACGGCAATCATGGTGAAGATATGGGTATTAATGGGATGGTTTGATCATGCGAGTTTTGTCGGTGCCGATTCCTTGTTCCTGTTCCTGAGCAGGCCGTCTTAAGGTGCAGAGACAATGGAAGGAAGGTGAAAGAGGGAGACAGAATGAACAATGGAAGAATTCCAAATGAGAAAAAAGTTGGAGCGCTCCTGCTTGGCCACCCAGCTGCCACAGCAGACTGCAAACTGCAGACCGCAGAGAGCCTGAGGCAAAAGTGCTCGGCTGATCGTGACGGGGCAAGATTGGAAGCTATGGCAGAGATGACAATAGCAAATACTAACGGTTGAGCGAGAGAGGGAATGGCGGCTTTTAAACACAAGGGGCTGACATGTCCGATGTACACTCAGCAGCCGGATTAATACAACTGATTATCCTGCCAGGCTGAGTAATAGATGTTCAGACCACACTGCTGCAGGTAAGGCGGGAGGTGTGGCAGATGGCAGGTGTCGAGTTGGGTTCGTTTGTCACTCGAGGTCGCGTTGGTGGGTGCTTTGTTGAGGTCGTAGAATAGAGGTAGGTAGGCACGGCCTCTTCTATGTGACGATTAGG